AAAAAAAAATGACCTGGAGTCTCCTGAAAGCTTTTCCTGTGCCTAAAATCCTAAAATCAGCTTATTCCAATCCTCAGGTTCCTCCTGGAAACCTGGGAAGGATTTTGAGATGTTGGGATGTTTTATCCATGAAAAAAAAAAAAAAAAACCAAAAAACCCAAAAACCCAGGAATTCCTTCCTGGGGGATTTGGGCCCCAATTCCCGAGGTTTCCCCAGGTCCCGTTGCCTTCCCTGGGGGGGGGGTGGTGCCAATCCCTGGGCTCTGCTCCTTGGTCACTTTGGGAAATCAGCAGAGCTGCCTGTGTGCAAATCCCCCTCCTAAACCCAACTGGGCCCAGATTAAATTAACCTCACTTTTACAGGCCCAGACTAATTTCACTTTCCCAGCTGTTTAAACCCTAGCCCAGATTGATCTCCCTTCTCCAGGCTGTTTAAAACCAGGCCTGGTTTAATCTCTCTTTTCCAGGCTGTTTAAACGAAAACCCAAACTGATCTCCCTTTTCCAGGCTGTTTAAACCCAAGCCCAGACTGATCTCCCTTCTCCAGGCAGTTTAAACCCAGGTCCAGATGAATCTCATTTTTCCAGGCTGTTTAAAACCAAGCCTGGATTAATCTCTCTTTTCCAGACTGTTTGAGACTGGACCCAGACTGATCTTCCTTTCCAGGCTGTTTAAACCCAAGCCCAGATGAATCTCATTTTTCCAGGCTGCTTAAACCCAAGCCCAAACTGATCTCCCTTTCCCAGCTGTTTAAAACCAGGCCTGGATTAATCTCATTTTTCCAGGCTGTTTAAACCTAAACCCAGACTAATCTCCCTTTTCCAGGCAGTTTAAACCCAGGACTGGATTAATCTCCCTTTTGCAGGCAGTTTAGGCCCAGGGCTGGTTTTCCAGAGCAGAGGCTGGGCAGGGCTAAAGGGATAAAGCAGGGATTTATTAAAAACCCTTCAGAGGATTCACCTTGGGCAGTGCAGGAGCCCGAGGTGGGCTCAGAGTCCCGAGTTTCACACTTGGATCACTTTGGGTCCATTCCCACCTCGGGGTTCATTGTCCAATCCCAGCTCCAGGCTCTGCACTCCCATCCTCCCACATTCTCTCCTCCACTCGCTGCTCTTTGCACTTTTTGGGGCTGGAGCTGCAGCTGTCCTTGGTTGTGGGGCTGGCAAAGGATTGTTTGGTGTGCCTGAGCTGGGAGGAGAGCTGGGAACACTTTGTGTGCAGCTCAGACTTATACCCTAGTGCAGACCAGAATCTAAATAATATGAAAGCTAAAACATGAGATAGAACTGCAGGCATCAGTGCACAGATGATATGGAAGCTAAAATTTGAGGCATCAGTGTCCCAGATGCCACTGCAGCTGTTCCTGGGCTCACCTGGGCTCACCTGGGCTGTCCTTGCAGGTGGCCTGCATGCAGTTCATCAACATCGTGGTGCACTCCGTGGAGGACATGAACTTCCGAGTGCACCTGCAGTACGAGTTCACCAAGCTGGGCCTGGATGAGTACCTGGATGTGAGT